AAGTACTTTAAAGCACATAAATTAGTTACCCGGGCAATTGAATCAATTAGCCAATCAGATGAATGTCGGCCTATGATTATAATTCCCCAACCGAAAAATCAGGTCCACGTTACACTAGATCTTGAATTTTACGTTAACTGAGCTTCTAGCTGCTAGAGTTACTTCCCAGAGAATTTTATTAAAGGTAAAAAAAAAAAATCTTTTTTGCGTTTAGGGAGAATACTGGAATATAATATATATTTATTTAATAAAATACGATTGCAGTTAACAATTTTATACTATTCCTAATTACGCAAGAAAATGCATACGTTATATATATTACGAAGCTTTGTTGGTATGCAATTGTTTTATGGCTTTCTGAATGCTTGTTGAATATAACATCATTAATTATTTGGTGTGGCGTATTTTATACAAATAGCACCACGAACAATATTTCCACGAATAAGTCACGTATTTTTAAGAGATTTTTCGCGGTTGACGCGGCATTACACAAGTGACGCGAAAAAAAATGAAGCAGTGGTTCCAAAACGTACTACACCGAGGCCTAGAAGAGCATTATTCTATGGTACTAAGAACTATGAAATTGTTAAAGAGTGTACGCAGTCTATGGTTTAGCTGCGTTGAACCAATTAGTATTAATTGAAACTCTGTCTATTCGTTGTAACATATCTATAGTTCCAGGTAGTGAAGAACGTAAAATCAAAAGTTCTCTAAATGTGACCGCGGACAGTATCGTATACGATTTAGAAGATGGCGTTGCATCTAATAGAAAAGCTATTGCAAGAGAAATGATTTTTGATGTTTTGGGGGTAATGTAAAACTTTATTAATTGTAAATTATTAAGCATTAGCTGTTAATTTTGTTTATTTTTTTTAGACATCTTTGGTTAATGAAAGATCCGAGAAAGCTGTCCGAATAAATGCTGTTGGATCAGGTAAAATATTATTCATCCATTTCTGAATTGATATTAGTTACTCAAAATTTGTATGTTTACATTATATCGAAGGCATGGAACTGGACGATCTTAATGTGATGGTAAGTTTTACAAAAAAAATTTTAATTTTATCACAATTACTCCATACAGAATTAATTAATGTGAACTATTAGCTTCGTTCGAAGAATCTTGAAGGCATTGTTATACCCAAAGTTAGATCAGCGGATGATGTTAAATTTGTTAGTCGAATGATAGATTTAATAGCTCCTGATGAGAGGTAAGATAAGATGAGGTCTATTTGATTTTAAAATATTAATACATTATGTACAATTTCTAGTTTAAATGTTATAATATAGTCGGTCTAAAATTCGTCTACTAGCATCAATAGAAAGTGCTTTGGCCGTTATGAATATTAAACAAATCGCAACATCTGATCCTAGACTTGATGCACTAATTGTGAGGTCTTATTTCTGAATTTTGCAGCCAGTTTTGTGTTAATTTGTGAATTTACCGGATTTATTGTCTGTGCTAGTTTGCTGCTGAGGATTATTGTGCAGATGTTGGTAAGAATTGATATTACTTGATATATGAAGATAGAAGAGTAGATTTATTATTTTATTTATTAAGGAATTATAAGAACACGATCTCGGAAGGAAATGTTGCTAGCACGCCAGATCATAGTAACGGCTGCCAGTGCTTATGAATTGCAAGCGATTGACCTGGTAATACGAATCATTACTATTTGCATAAATTGCTTCTTCTCTTTAACACTGTATATTGAAAGTTGCGTTTTGTTTTGCTACATAGGTTTGCGTCGATTTTAGGAATGACGATATTTTGACAGAAGAATGTCAAGAAGGTCGAGAGATGGGCTATGTTGGAAAAGTAAATTACTAATTTCATTAGAGCATTAGTATAAATTTTAATATAATTGTGATTAAGTTCTAAAATTCTCATTATATAGCAAGCGATTCATCCGCGTCAAATTGATATTATACAAAAAATGTTCTTACCTGACATACAAGGTATGACAGATTAAAATTTCTATTTTTGATAAGTACATACTACTTAATCATATTACTCCGTGTTGAATAGATGTAGAAAGAGCTGCACGTATTGTTTATGGTTATGAGCAGCATTCTAAAAAAGGAATTGGGGCGTTTGACTTAGATGGCAAAATGTACGTACTTTTGCAGCCTGGGATCCACAAAAAATTTGGGATTATATTTATAGGAATTTAAGTCATAAATATCATCTGAATTTTTATGGAACCTGAATATTTGTTTACATTCTATTAAAAAATGGTTTGTATTTTTTGGTAATAGGATTGATCTCCCGATGGTCAAATGGGCAGAGCGAATACTTACAAGGGCCACAGCTGGCGGAATAGCGATTCCTGAGATAAAGAAGGATGAAAACAGCATTGAAGCATAATAAATCCATAAATTATATATGTTTACTAAACTAATCGTGAAATCGAATACGTATTATAAATTGTCTCAGAATTTTATTTTTATTTGTTGATAATCAGGCCGTAAATTGATAATCGATAACTATAATCATGTGATCAGAACAATATATCCAATTCAATTTCTACCATACATAACAATTAAGATTGGCGCCAACGGCATCAATAGCATACAAGCATTGTAAAAAACATCGCGTGTATAAAGCACGTTTACCATAGTCGCAGTGCATGAAACCAAGATTAAATTGAAAAGCAGGGAATGATCAGATTTTGTTTTTCGCCTATCTTGATATTCACGTTGTAATCTTAATGATTTCTTTACAGAGTAATTATTTAAAAACCATGCATATATTTCGAGCAAGCAAGCACGCACGTACGTTGAAGGAATTAAAAAAAACTATGAAATAATAATAGAAGCTATAACTACTAACGTATTAAGATTTATAGTCAACTAAGAAATTTTCTCAGCGATCAGCTTGATCAGCCAATTATCTTATGTAAAGTAAAAAAAGAATTCTGATCCCTTGTGATTTTGACAATTTTTGGAAATCTGTTGAGACACAAACGCCTGAAAAAATGGGGAAAATTTTTTTTTCTCAATTTATACAGTATTGCCCACAATTTTTCAATTTATAAGTAATTTGTACATAGTCGTCTGCCTCTTTCCGAGCACTTTTTTTTTATGTCCCTTTTTACTTTCTCTTGACGAGTATAAAGCTATTTTGAGAAATGCTTTAATAAGTTCGATTTTTACAATAAATCCAAGTTTTCTTCTAAATAACATTTAATAGAGTTTCGTATTTCTTTTTTCGGGTAATATTCGCTGCGTGATAAAAACCCTACCTAAGAAAATCTCAACAAATAATAAAATAGCTTTCTCAAAAAAAAAAAAATAAACCAACTTGGTGGTTATAGAACCTATTTGATAAAGAAACAGTTATAAAAAAAAAGAAAATGTCACCTCGTACAAATTCACCACCACCTTCGTCCTTTGGTTTGTACGATGACATCGAATATTCAGAATATAACCCCGGTTCTTCTTATTATCCTTCGACACCAGCAGGAGGACAGTCTTCGAATATAAATCAATTTTATTCAACACAAAGTCCAGTATCACCACATTTCACTCCATCTTTGAGTAGGAGTGACATTACAGGTGCTGCGACTACTCGTACTCGTACTCGAAATGGCTCCCGTAAGGTCAAGACCAATAGCGCAGGATTCACCTCACTTTTACCTCGAACCCTAAACGTGCCACGCAGAGTACTCTCTTCCTCTGCAGTACAATTCTTTACACTTATTGTGATATATTCATTTTGCATAACAACCATTTGTTTTATATTCTGCGCTTCGTATCTCCTTACGCTTTATGATGATACCCGAAGGATGCTCCGTAATTCACGCACTTGGGCCAAAGTAAAAAGTGGAGTAAGAGAAAAGATCTCTATGTTAGGTGATGATTGGGAAGAATTTCTGCAAAACTATTTCGATCAATCTTACGAAGGTGTAGATGCGAATAAAAATGGTCACCTTGGCGGTTCAAACATGAATAATCATGGTCAAACATCATCCGATGGAAAACAAGATGAATGGGAAGAATGGTTCAAGTGTATGATGTTTAAATTTATTACGACGGTCGCAGGACAAGATGCTACACTTAAATTCCAACAGTCAGCTGCTTCATTCCAATCCTCTTTTTTTTCTCGGCCAACGACAGCGGCTGGTGGTGATGGTGGTAAAAGATGAAAGAAATTTAATATATATGCGCATATATAATTTGCATCTATAACAAAAGGTTGCAGGTGTTCAACCATTAGGTTAAACTTAAAATTTTAAAATAAATATAACAGATATCAAAATTATATTTCATATGTATCCGAATAGGTGTTACACCTATATCATATATATACTATATATCTTTGTTACATATTCCTATCTAATAACATTTATATTTCATTAAGAAAAAAAAAAAAAAAGAAAAAAAAAGATGAAGAGTAGCACCTTCATCCAGTATATAGTTAGAAATTAATTTTTTTTTTGGGTCTAATAAATTTTTTTACATATGTAAATTATAACATCCATATTAACTTGAGCGCTATTGTATGGTGTTGGCACCTTGATAAATCCTTTTTTTTTTGACTTAAACGAGATATATCGATATAAAATTTTATACAGTGCGGGACAGCATAAACCAACACCCCCGCGCCAAATTTTAAAATAAATACTCGATTCTGATTGGCTAATATTATATAATCAATTGTGATTGGTCAAAAATAACATGAGTTTGCTATTTACCACCACTGGTGATCATCACTTACAAGTTTCTAAAGCCTTGTCCCTAAAATACATTTCACTATTAAAACAAAAGCTGCACCACGTGACCGAATCCACTCAAATTTTTTTTATTTGAATTCTATGGATCCATAGAACTCAAATAAAAAAATTCATCGAATTTGATCAGGTGGTTGTCGAAATATCATCTCTTAAAATTTTTAGAAAAAATCGAAACGTCTATCAGAATAGAAGCTACCGATTTTTTTAAACTTTGAGTGAAATTATCTCGATGAAAAATTTTTATTTAAATTTAGTGGATCTATAAAATTCAAATAAAAAAACAATCACCGAATTTAGTCAGGTAGTTGACATGATATCTTCACTCAAAGTTTTAAAAAAATCAAAAACATCCCATTAATAGAAGCTGTGCTAATTTTTTTAAAACTTTGAGCAAAAATATCTTGACAGCCAACTAACCAAATTTAATGAATTTTTTTATTTGAATTCTATGGATCTATATAATTTAAATAAAAAAATTTTCATTGATTTGGTCAAGTGGGTGTCGAGGTACCTTTGCTCAAAGTTTTAAAAATCAAATGAAAGCTGCGTTAAATTTTTTTAAAAGCTTTGAATGAAAATATCACGACAACAACCTAATCAATTCTGATGAATTTTTTTTATTTGAATTTTATGGATTTGTAGAATTCAATTAAAAAAAAAATTTCATTGAATTTGACCAGGTGGGTATTTTTTAAAAAAAATTTGGCATAGTAATAGGCGTTTTGATTTTTTCTAAAACTTTAAGCGAATATATCTCAACACCCATCCAATCAATTTCAATGAAAATTTTCATTTAAATTATATGCATCCATAGAATTTAAATTAAAAAAAATTCATCGAATTTTGTCAGGTGGTTGTCGGGATATTTTTGCTCAAAGTTTTAAAAAAATTGGCGCATCTTTTATTATTCAGATAGATAGATAGATGTTTTGATCTTTTTGAGCGAAGATATTTTGTCAACTACCTGACCAAATTCGGTGGGGGTCTTTTTTTTTGAATTTATGAATCCATAGAATTCAAATAAAAAAATTTTCATCAAACTCTATTAGGTGGTTGTCGAGATATCTTCATTCAAAAGTTTAAAAAAAATTGGCATAGCTTCTATTCTAATAGATGTTTTGATTTTTTCTAAAACTTTGAGCGAAGATATCTCGACAACCACCTGATCAAATTCTGTATTTATTGTTAAAGAAGTAAAAGACAGAAGATGGTAAAAGATTAGCTATTCAATGAAATTTATTTTATTTGAATTCTATGGATCCATAGAATTCAAATAAAAAAAATTTTAAGTGAATTCAGTTATGTAGTTGTCAGGATATCTTCGCTCAAAGTTTTGGTATCACATTGTGATTATTGATATGCACGGTTGATCACATAGGTGCAAGGCTTTAGCGGACCCCATTAATTGAACTATACCTATAATTAATAAAGGTATTCCTAGAGGCTATATAAAAAATGGAAAGAAGCTATATTTAATACAAGATTTTAGGCTTTTCTAGAGCTTATTTGTTTGCTTTCAATTTAGCACATAAGAGTTCTTTTTATTTAAATTACAGAATTAAAATACAGTCAGGGAATATACCATAAATGGATAGTGCAGATCACACCTTATATAGGCAAAGATCATCACTCGATTGATTCTGGAAATTTCCAAAGCATGATCATTGCTGTCAAGTAAAAAAATTTTTTTTACTTCGTTTTTAAATTTAATTAATATAATACTGTAATATGTATTGAGAATACAATTTTATTGACTTCGTTTTTTTTAAAATAAAATTTATTTTTTATTTATTAATCGTGCTATATCACGAATATACAAACACTTATGCTACATCCCGAATCTATCTAACTCTTGTCCCAAATCTACCAACTCTAATCCTAAGTCTACCTATTATTCTTACATTCATTCCGAATCTATCTAATTATTGTGCTAAGTTTGTTCGCTAATATGCTACATTTGTCCTAATTATCATGCTACGTATATACCTAACTATCTTGCTATCTCTATCTATCCCAACTATTTGTTTTTAATATTATGCTACGTTTAATCTTAAATATCTTGAGTTCTCTTCTGCAAGCCATACTGATACCTATACAAGATTTAAATTAAAATATAAAAGTTGTAGTATTTAAATCTTCGTTTAATACAAATATAAAATAGTACAAAAAAAAAATATCTTAGGTTGACTAATGACGATTCTTAACCTCCAATATGAAGTAAATACCTTTTTTTTAGCCTCTCATTTACTTTGGCAAAAAAAGTTTGCCGCCGTTGATTAATTTTGATTATTGAAACTAGGCGTCTTGAAGTATGTGTTCGAAGCTTACTAGAACTTAATAACTATTAAAAAATTTTTTTTTCAAATCGTACGATGTTTGAGGAGAAAAGGACATGTGAGAGCCAATCAAATTCAGAAATCCGTTTGTAAATCATTCTAGAACGTGATTTCTTAATTTGGTAAATCCCCTGACTGTATTGTAGACCTGGGATCTTGTATTTAGCCATTTACGGTAGTTTATTATATTACAGCTGCTTTCATAAATTCTAGGACACCTAAAAATTTTCTCATTTCCCGGAATCTTTTCTGTTTCGTCCGGTAAATTACCTAACACTCCGGAAACTACATCGCCATCTCCAGACTGAAGGTTCGAAAATAGCGATGTAGTTTCCAGAGAGTTAGGTAATTTACTGGACGAAATAGAAAAGATTCTGGAAAACGAGAAAATTTTTAGGTGTTCCAGAATTTATAAAAACAGCTGTAATGATTAAATTGGTAACAGTAAAGCAAGTCGTGTTATATTTCAGTCATGGGTGATAATGGAATAATTATGGTTGGTCATTAATATAAAGAATTTGGGTGTTAAAAAGAATAAACACAAAGCATTCGAATATTTAATTTTAAACTTTAACAAAGATAACATATAATTATAATCATCTGATTATAATTTGATTTTTATTTTAGTCCGATACAAGAAATTAATAATAAGTTTTCACACATACTAAATTATAAAGTTGATTTAGAATCAAATTTAGGTGGGTACTGTGTGAAGAACCAGATATTGTAAAATTAGTCAATCAATATACATAGTTATATTCCAGGATCTTATTCAAGAAACAGTTGGTAAGGATAGTAATGATAACCGAATCTATTAATCTCTGATTCGTCAAATGTTACAATAACGATATTAAATAATTTTTCAGATAATTATTTCATTTCAAACCCTAAATCGAGACCATTTTACACAACTGTTGAGAAAAAAAAAAATAATTACTGATCGCTGCCTGATTAAGGTTTGAAATGATATGATCGATACTTTGAATTCATTGTAAGATTTAATTTTATTCGCTTTAATTTTAATAGTAATGATTATATCGATCATTTTTATGCAATAAGAAGAATTCTTTATTTTCGGATACATAGCTTTATTTTAGAAGCTATCCTAAATTATTTGTCCGAAAATCCTAAAATCTGAAAAACCCTACCTGCCAACTTTAGTACGAGGAACTTATCTTT